GTTGAACTCTCAACCACGAGCAGACAATGAACAGCACTTACACTAATTTAAGTTCTGCATGAGCGCGTGTCAAGTTGGTCGGGAATCGTTTTGGTTAGCTGTACTATCGCGCGAGTTAAAATTATACGAATAAGAGGCGTCGAAATAGTTTATTTTAAACAAACATAATTATCCTGGATATAGTAATCTGAAATATTTATTAAATTAAATGTTATCAACCTATCGAATATTTTCTACTTCTTGCAAAGAAAAGAGTCTGACAAGATCAATTAAGTTATTCTCACTATTTTTATAGAAAATAATCAATTTCAATCTCTACTTATTTTTTAGTCTCATTGTCAGAAAATAAAGAGACTCGGACTCAGAAGCAATTATAACAGATTCCATGACCCTGCTACGAAAATCTGTATTTTACAATCTGAGATATTAGATTCACTGTTATTAAGCTATCGAATAACATTTATTTCGTGCAAAGAAAAGAGCTTGAAAACACCAGTTAAATTATCCTCACTGCTTTTATAGGAAATAATGAATTTCAGTCTTTGCTTTTACAAGTCTACATTTTTTATTATCAGAAAATAAAAAGCTTCAGAAAGAAGTAAGACAGTTTCCGCTGAGCTGTTATGAAACCGATTCGACTAACTAGTTTTTACTTGACGTTCACGTTAACAGACACGTGTCACGGTCGTGTCGGTGAGAAAGTTCTCGTCTGAGAATACAAAAAAATCTGGGAGGAAGAAGAAGCGTTTCGTACCTCGCCATGGAAAGTGAAGTTTCCGGGTTGTATAAACGGTGTCAGCCTGAGCTCGTACAAGTCGGGAACTACGGATCTCGGTAGCCGTACGTCGAGCCGTTTCTTGCCGAACGCGTTCCCAGTGAACACGCCGCGGGCCTCGAACGCCGGGCTGCTTAGATCACCGGCGCATTTCTCCTCGAGGCACGGCGCGAGATGATAGACCAGCAGCCCGGTCACTACCAGCGATATGATGAAGGCGGCGGCCAAAAGGAATGCGCCGCAGGGCGACACCGTGCAACCCCTTTTACGTCCGAACGTTGTCGTGTGCGCGTCCATCATTGCCAAAACCTCGCGGGACTGGGTCATATCATGTGCAAACCTGTAACCGAGAGGCAAGGAAGTCAGGCGAGTCGTCTTGATGGGTATTCCAGCACCCTGGAGGGCACAATGGCGAATCTTTTGATGAAAAATTTTAATCGACGTGAAGAAAATTGACTTGAGGGACAATGAAAATATTTTGCAAAAATCATTTAGTAAGTTTTTGTACAAAATTGTATGTTCTGTACAAAAACAGACAATATCGAATGAAAAATTAACATAATGGCTTTCTTATGTGATGATGTCAAAATTTTTAAATTAATTCAAAAACAGTGGCCCTCATTAATATTTGGGCACACTTCACCACAAAACAACCTTTTTAATATTGAAACAATCAACTTCATTCTTTGTGAAATGTTAGAATAATTATCTCCCTAAATAATGAATGAATAACTTTTTAAAAATTGCTATTAGTCAGTATCGCGAAAAAAAAGTAAAAGACAAGATTTGTAAGTTCTTTAGTTAGATCACTAAAATGTAAAACATATATTTTATAGCAGTAACAAGAATTACATTATGTAAGGTGAGTCAGTAAGAAATATCATTTCAAATTATTTAACAGTCATTGATCATATTATAAACTCAGAGAGAAACATATTGTAAATTGTTAGAATACATGGATACATAGGGTGTCCCAAGAAAATGTATACAAACTTATTAAATAATGCCTGCAAATTATATTATATAAAATGAAGACCGTCTTTATGATTACTTAAAGTGTATACACATTTTTTGGGACATCCTGTATTTATTTAACGATCTCCATTCTATAATGAAATCATAGACTGCACGTTTTGATAAAATTATTAAATAACAAATTATTATATACATAATGTGTATAAATTAAGTGTATACGTATATGAATTGCAAAGTTTCGTGAATCGGCTGAAGTATAGGAAGTTAAAAACAGTGAAACATGTAAAAATCTTCTGATTTATTCCAGTCGTAAACGGAAAATTGTCGAGAACTGTGGTTTTGCTCGTTAGTTGGAAACATGAAACATGTAAAAATCTTCTGATTTATTCCAGTTGTAAACGGAAATTATCGACAACTGTGGTTTTCCTCGTTAATTTACGATTTCAATCGTTTGTAGCTCATACCTACGTTAGCCAATTTTTACGAAACATTATAGAAGCATGTAACTTAGAATATTTTAAATTTTTATTAGTGACCCAAATAAGAAACTTGAGAATCGCGTATTTCACATTTTTCTTCAGAATTCTGGTTAATGATTGTTATTAGAATTATGGCCTCATTTACATACTGCTTTACGTAGCGAAAACCACTAGATAAATATGCACCTTATATTTTTAGTTTTAGTTTATTGAAATCATACAAACGAACTTAAGTGTAATTTTAAAGTAATGCTAAATACTTCAATATATCAGAAATGGAATATCCATATAACATGGTTGCCATAATGTCCATACGCCTTATCGTATCTACCCATGGAATGGTGCGTAATTACAACGGAAATGCAAAAACGTTATCTGGTAAATCTTACTTTATATTTAAATATCTAACAATTGCCTAGGAAAATAATCTTCTAATATCTAAATAAGAAATTGAAGTGATTGGCCTAATATTAAAAAAATTATTCTCTATTAAAACGTGTCAGAAAATTACTGTGCATTAATTTAGAATCAACACGTGTTTTTATGGAATTTAATGAAATGAAGCTACATTAAATTGAACAGGAACTGAAGAAAAAATAATGTCAGGATTTTGAAATATATTATCATTATACAGATTATATTATACAGATACAGATTACAGATATACAGATTATATATTTACAGATACATTAGACAATAATAATTAATTATGTCAGGAAAGGTTGGAAAGAATAAAAAGAAAATATATTAAATGGATATTTGGGCTGAAGAGGCAAACGGCGAACTGTGTAGTTACGGAAGAAACGAAGCAGAGAGAAATAAATGAAAAAAGCACTAATAAGGGCAACGAAATTTGAGGAGAAAAATAGGAGAAATGGAATAAATCTGATAAAAGAGTGTATTAGAACAGTGAATAGAGGAAACAGAGTAGGTGAGGATAACAAATGGCTGAAGGATAGAGAACAAATGATAGAGGAATATGATCTAAAGGAAGGAAGACATTTTAATTCAGAAAACAAAGAGGAAGACTGGAGGAAGGTTTTGGAAAGGCAGAAAGAAAAAGTTAGAGTGGCAATGAGAAGAGAGAGAGAAGAAAAATTCGCGTCGTCAAGATATAATAATGACTACCTATTCTGGAGGACAAATGAAATCCCAATGTATTTGAAGGGGTGGAAAAAAGTGGAAAAAAGTGAAAAAAAGATGATTGCAAGGTTCAGGTGCAGAAACGGAATGGAAGGAGGGAAGTACTGGAATAAGGAAGAGGAAAGACTTTGCAGATGCTGTGGAAACAAAATAGAATTGGTACAACATGTAATATATGAATACCCGAAAACGAAAGAGAACACAAGAGTGGGAGAGTTGATGCGAGAAGATGGGAGTGGGGCAGAGATGATGAGAATCACCACAGCACGGAGGAAGAATGAAGGAAAAATAGAAGAAGCAATTGTTAATTAAAATTGTTATTGTTGACATATTTTACGTATGATTTAAATTAGATAGATTTATTTTTAGTTACAAGTTTGTATAAGTTTAAGTTTTGTGTAGAAAGGCCTATATTTATATAATAATGTAAAAGGGGACCCATCCCTAAACCGTAAGGTAAGGGGTATTAAGAAATAAATAAAAGAAATAAATAACTAATTATGTTAAAAAAATATTTTATCGATGATAATCAACATTTAGGAAATAATAAAAGAAATATTGTTATAAATTCACAATGAATTAAAAATGAGATACAGTAACAGTAAAAATACGCGTATCACGATATTTAACAGAGAAGGAACTAGTACTTAAGGTTGTATGAGTCATAAGATCTCTGCCAAAAGTTTAAGACATGTAATAAAAAGCTGTGTCCAATATTTGAAGCAATGAACTTTTAGAAAAAATGATAATTACAGAGGAGTAATGTTTATAAAATTGATCGACCTGTTTTTCTCAGTCATAAGGAATTTCTAACGCATGGCTCCTAATATTCCAATACACAGTTCTAGCATTTTTTTATTGGTCTGTACTTGACTTGCAATTGTCTATATTGTCTACATGTCCTATAATCGTTACTTTTGCATACTTTTCACTGTACATCTTAAATAATATCCTCGAAATTGACATTATTGCAACTCTAGAATATTCTTAAATCATGTATTAAGAATTATACAAAATTACAAATTTCTGTCATTATTGCATTCATAT